GCCGCCACAGGCAGCATGGGCACCCAGGGGAGCCCCGTGAAGAGCTACGACTACCTGCTCAAGTTCCTGCTGGTGGGCGACAGCGACGTGGGCAAGGGCGAGATCCTCGAGAGCCTCCAGGACGGCGCCTCCGAGTCCCCCTACGCCTACAGCAACGGTAAGGGCGGCGGACGGGGCTCCCCGGAGCGCGGCCCTGCTGCCCCCGCGGGCCTTGCTGGCGCCCTCGTCACCGAGCCGCAGCTCCGCTCACACGTACAGGATGGCTAGTCTGCGTTGTACCCTTGTCGGCAAAGAAGTCAGCTTTAGGGTGGGAAGAGTTAGGTTGTGTTTTTTTTCTCCCTTTCTTTACTCCTTTTTGTGTCTTTTTTGTTAACTGAGAACACAACACAGTTTGTCAGGGCTTGTGGTCATGGTAGTGGGAAGGTGCCGGTTGCTCCTTGTGATTGCCAGGCTCTCCCGGAGGCTCCGGCTGGAGCGATGCTGGAGAAGTTGGTGTCTGATGTAATCACAAGACATGCAAATCCCGGAGCCGAGCTGGACCATGCCCAAGCAGAGCTCGGCTTGCGCATCCTGCTTAAAGAGCCCAATCTGATTTTCTGTCATCGCGGCAGGGGTTAACGCGGGGATTGATCGGCACTAAAAGGATGGGATGCGCGAGGGCTGCAACAAAAGAGCAGTAATGTTATCTCCAGGCTAACGTTGTTATGACTTGGTACTCGAGTGCTGAGTGCAGCCTCATCCGTCTGCCTCCTGCGAGCACCGGGGTTTATAATGGAGCCCATGACAGGCCATTAACTATAGTGTCACAAGACTATAATTAAGAGGCGAGGAGTGGCGCTATGCTATTTCCTGCATCCCCTCGCTGCAGTTAAAATGTAACACTGCCTGGCATGGTACGAGTCCTGGGGTGACTTTCAATCTGTCATAGATTTCACCATCCTCAATGCAAAATAGTGGCCTCAAAGGCTTGGCAGAAGCGATCTAATTTGGTCCTGTGTCCTCACCAGAGCCAACCTGAGGGCTGGAACAGTGTTTTCTTTCATCTGAGATAATCAAGTGTGAGAGCATCGGGTGCTTCTGGACACTTTGGGTTGAAGCTGGCTGAATTTAGCATTTAAAGGAGCAGTGTGGCTCAGTTTCAAGCTGTGCAATAGTCCTGAGGAGCTGTTGCCATCATTTTAAGAACTGAAGCAAGAGCATACCTGATCTGCAGGTATTTCTGGGGAAGCAGTGACTCAGAGAAGTGGAGATGCTTGTGCAACTGGAGTAGGAAATTCTGGAACTAGAAGATCGTGGTGTCATTCACCTGCTTGGCTGCCTGGCTGGGCTCATGTGGCTCACCTTGCTCGACGCTTCTCAGCTTCCCTGGAGAGACCTTGTACCTCTGGAGAACCTGCCTCTGCTGGGAACTATGTAATTGCTCCTTGGGATAAATATTTACTAATATTTACTATAGCAGGGGAGCTGGTTTGAATTGGAATTGTCTTCTAACAGAAATGGTTTTGACTGTTGTTTAGTTGTGAAATAATAGATATTACTGGGGGAAAAAAAAGTGTGCATGTGGTAGTACAAAGAACCATTTGTTGTTGCTGTTTATCTCCGTAACTAAAAGTTTTGTGTCTGTACCCACGATTTTATAACAAGAGAGTAACACCTTACTTTGCTTGGAAAAAGAAATATCAGTAAAGTAGTCTTTTTAAAGGCTTTAAAAAGTCTTCTGCTGTCCTCTGGAGGAAGCAGAACCCATTTTTATGCACTGAACTTTATATAGTCAGCTATACCATACCAAAATATGCTTTTCTCATCTCCACTTGTGCTAAATTGCATGTGTTTTGGCTAATCAGATCAAGCAGCTTTGCAGTCTGCGTGAATTTGATACTGCTGATGTTCTTGACAGCCTTGGCAATGCAGTTTCCCCTCTCGCTGGGATCGCTGGGCGGTTGCTGCGAAGACGCTGGGCCGTGGGGCAGGTTTTGTGCTGGCTCGGGGGGCTGCAGGGCCCTTGTGAGCTGGAGGCAGATGGAGGGCTCTGCCCTCTGCCCAAAGAGCTGTCCCGCTCTAACAGCTTTGAACCTGTCGCCCAGCAAGGCAAGAGGCTTTATGCTCTGTTGCAGACTTGCAAAACCCCCCGTTGTCTCTGTCTGACCCTTTGGAGGTGTAGCTAAGGCTGTTGTAAAGCAGCAAACTGGTGTTATTTAGTGGTTATTTTTAAAATCTCTGCTTCCAAGAGTACCCTCATCGTCACCTCCCTCCCAGCCTTGTGCCCCTGCTTGAAACAAATATTGCACCTCATGTATTGCTTTTTCAATCTGTCCAGAAAATGTATTCTGCCATTATCAGTGTAAAAATGAAATATGCTTTAGATGTATTTTGTGGTTAGGACATCCCTTGCTTCAGACTGTTTCCCTAGTCCCTAATCTCTGGGGAAGAGAAGGCATAGAGTAATTGTGCTCATGCTTTTTGTCTCTTTGGGGGTCTGCTGCTTTTACTTTTTTGCCTGAGGGTAACTTTTAACACAGATTTTTGAAATGGAGAGTGAAATATATTCTCCTTTCAGCTCTTCTCTTTTTTTGTTGTTGTTTTTGTTTTTCTTTTCTTTTTTCCCCAGAAAGACTTAAATTTAGGAGGGAAGCTCTAAAATATTGCTGCTGCTCATATGCTTGGTATGTAGCAAAGAGTTTGAGGGATTCTTTCTTTTTTTTTTGCATATACCATATATGTGTGTGTGTGTATGTGTGTATATATACACACATATGCATATGTATTTGAAAACATAATCTCAATCAGAGCATCATTGTAACTTCTCTCCATTATTATTCAGGATTCTTGAGCCAAAGCATCACTTCTCAACACAACTTGGCATCGCATATTGAGTTAGGTGCTTCTTAAAAGCACAATTCCTATTGTGCTTAGCAAGGAGTTTTAGCAGGGATGATCTTGAAGGACTTAGGGGTGGACTCCGTCTTGAGGGTCCTTTCCAACCGTGATGGTTCTATGATTCTAAGAATGAGAGACCTGCAAATGCTTTGGACATAGAACTTCTTGGTGGCTGCTAAAAAGCCCCTTCAAAGTGCCAAGGTACAGCAGGAGGTTACTCCAGTCCCTGTCATCTGAGCGCTGGTGGAATAGCTGACTTGAAGCAAAACTGTCCTCCTCACTCGTGGATGGCTGCAAGTCAGCTACGCAGACCACTTGCTGCTTATTGTCCATTTGCTTTCTGTCCTTCTCCAAATACCAAAGCATGACAGAAATTCTTGTGCTTGCAGATTCTCAGGCAAGTAGATGTGAAATTCTTGTGCCTGCAAGTTTTGGGCAAGTAGATGTGGTGGAGCCACACATGAAAATAGGAACTGGGCATGTGCTCAGGTGAGCAACCACTTTGAGCTCTGCACAGGAGAACCTATCACTGTCAATACTGTGTCATAGTGCCTCTCTTGAATGTCTAGTTATTCATATGCTTACACTGGAAAAAAAATCCTGTTTAGCTTGTCTTTTGGCTTGCTTGAGAAACCTGCTCACTTCTGCTCTGCATCACTACTGAGTGAGTCATGTGGAGGCCTCTTTAGACAAGAATCTTTGATGGGCACAAATGCCATCAGTGCTGTATGATACAGTGCTCAGCGAGCACACAAAATGGGGTCTGGGCTGCTTTCACGACAAGGATGTGAATGTAATGTGCTTTAATCTGTCTGTCACACTTTTTCCTAGAGAAGTCTCCTCCCATTCACCTACTGCTATTCCTATAAGAAAGGAGGAAGGTGTGTTAAGGAAACTTTTCCTGACCTTAACTTGTGTTAAGAGCATCATGAGGAGGAATTTTTATGTCTGCCCTCTGAGCTCCTTCTTTCAGCTCTTCCAGGACCCTATGAAAGCTCACCTGAAAGATGCTGCCCTGCTGTAGGGGTTTGGTGGTCATCCCATCTGCCGTGACCTCCTCGCAGCTAGTTTCAACATCATCCCTTAGTTGAGGCTTAGTATCTTTATTAAAGCCCATTCCTAGGTGTTTTATTACTGTACTGGGGACACTGTATTGACTTGCTGAGGAACATCTCAATTTCTCAGTTCACCCTTATTAGCTGATTTAAGGAAATGTTAGGAAAAGACATCTTAAATGCTTAACGACCATAGTTACTCACAGGTTTTCTTGTTCAGATAGAACCATGTGAGCCTTTCCCAAGACTTTTTCCCAGTGATACCTACTCAGGGAGCTCGGCTTTGGGGCAGGAGCTGCAGGAACTTCCTTATATCTGTCGCTGCTCCTCGGTATTTTTGCTTAGCTGGAACTCTTGGTTCCCAGATTCAGGATCTAGAGCCAGGTGACTTGATGTCCTTTCCCTGATCAGAAGCCAGTGAGAAATAGTATTAAATGAACAGTTGAAGACTCTGCTCAGATTCTTCCAGCCAGTGCCCTTTGCCCAGGGACCTCAAAGCTGCTGTTTAAATGACCAGAATGTCTTCTCATATGACCCTTTTTTTTTTTTTTTTTTAAATGTCTTTTCCTCTGAATCCTCCTGTCCATTTAACTAAATTTGAAGATCCCTTTTTACTGGCCATTTCGAATCCCTCTCTTCAGCAATTACATTCTCCATAAGGTCCTCTTCTACCTCCTTGCCCGTGATGCAGTCTAACTGCTTGGTGCATCCAGAAGTGTCACCTGGGAAACTGTTTAGCTTTGCCATGTAGTAGTCTGCAAGTTAGTCACCGAGAGACTTATTTTTACCACAGCGGGTGCATTCAAGGACAGCAAAAAAGGGAATCGCTGTCTTTTACTCCCCCCTTGTCTGTTGTGCACTTCGTTCTTCGCCTCCCAGATTTCCAAGACAGACCAGGAAGGTGAAGTCTCTCGTTTCTCCTCTGACACCTCATGTATTTCACCTGTTTCAGGGCTGCTTGCTCCCTTGTCATCAGGGGGGCAAAATCTGCATGTAATCAGAGCAAGCTTTGAATGGGAAACATCTCTAGCATCCCCTGCTTCTCCCTTGTTAATTTATTAATTCTTGCCATTAAAAATAGTTGCTAAGGTACCATATTGAAACTTTTCCACTGCTTGTTTACATGTAGCTGAGCCGTGAGTCCATGAAGGCAATTGGACCGAGTGCTGTAAATCAGAAATGGTGAAATAGTCTTCTAACGACTGGAGTTAAAAGGGGCTTTTTA